AAAAAACATCATTATAATCTGTTAACTGTTTAAAATTAATATTATAATCATCTTTATTAACTGTTTTAATTAGCATTATAAACATATTTAAATGAACATCTTTACCTGATCTAAAATATTGTAATTGTTTTATTAAGAAGACAGAAAGATATGTATCCTGTTGTTGATGAAGAACCTGACTGTCAAACTCACTAAAGTTGGGTTTTTCTTCTTATTCTGAGTGGTCTCTCAGTTGCTGGAAAAATGTWTGTAAACAATAAATTACTGAAGACGACACCTGATCTCTTTGTGAATTCTTTTTTCRTTAAACTCCACTTTCATGTTTAAAAATGCTATGATGGCTTCTTTGAGAAGGGTGTGGGATCTTTTTTGGAGAGAAAAAAGGCTGTAATAAAGTTTACCTGCTGTTTAATATTCATTTAAGTTCAAAAATGTCTGAACTACATTTTCCTTTTACTGTGTATAGATGCATGTCACAGGTTTATKTCTCCAACTGTGCATGAGGAGCAGATCCACATCAATTTAAAAAAAGTTAAAGAGGAACCCATAAAGATAACGTGGATATTTTTACTGCATAATTAAACAGAAGAGTCAGAGGAACACATCTGAGAAATGTATTTAAATRATCATATTTTATGCAGGATCTCTGTCTCAGAGGCACAAACATAATCCTTGTATCTGATCAGGATTGAGGAGCGTTTGTAACTTGTCATATTTTACCATAAAAGACAGTAAAAATAAGAAAATCTACACAGGTAAGAACCAGTCTCTTCTCTCACTAATGGTGCATGAATGTTTTCAATAGATCATACAGTTGAAGGGCTTTTGAAGYAGAAACTTTTAGGACCAGTATGGAACTGTTTGCTAAGAAAACCAGAATTTTGTGTCACTTTTAGCATTCAGCTACATGTAGCAACATTTTATTGGTCCAATGTTCTGCAGGTAAGTATCAGAACCTGCTCTTTRAAAGAAAACATGGCCTTCAGTTCAGTAGTGAGTATTACACTATTAGTTCATAAATAATTGAAAACAGGAGTTTTTCAGCGTTTAACTGGCAGAAAATAGTTTATAAATCAAATAAATGACCCATCATTGTAACTTTTAATGGAAAACATCTGGAAGAAAACTGGTCTCTGCTGTCTGATCATGGAGTACAACACATCCACTGTTGAAGCAAAGGTTATTTCACAAACCACCTTTGAGGTGTTTCAGTATAAAGCTGAGAAAAAGGCAGGGTATAAAAAAGTATAAAAAATATAGCTGATTTTGAGAAACCTTATGTGAGTGTGTGTGTGTGTGCGCGCGCACACACACACACACACTCACACACACACAAAGCTGCATTGCAGTGGAGCTTTATAAAGTGGACGGTGCTGCAACAGAATCAGCAGGAAGGAGCAACCTTGGCTTTTCCACATAAAGTCAGTCCTGCAGAAAGAAAACAGAGAAAAACATCAAGCTAAAATTCACAGGACTCTTTTCTCAGACATCAGTCTGAAATGTAATGTTAGACTCATTGCTGGACCCAATGAGCTTGTTGGTGTCCGGTGCCATGTCCCAGATCACTATCAACATGGTCAAAATAAACAAATTTTGATACTTGATGATCCTGATATCATGAGCGTTTCCAGAAATACGGTTTTATTTATTTATTTATTTTTTTGCCGCTTTGGAAAATGGGTCTGGATCATATTTTTTTAGCAAATTCTTACAAGAATTTCTTGACATTTAAACAAGGACACCCCAAATTGTATATCAAGACTTCTCAGCTGATATTAAACAGCTTCAGTGAATTGGAAATGTAGAGAAAATCATTGATCCCTGTTGGTACTGCTCAGAAAAGTGCCTCAAAGCTTCAGAATTGTTTCTGACATTTTCTTCCATGGATCCACAGATTAAGGAGTTTTTAATTCTTATTTTGACAAATTCTGGTGACTCAGTCTTCAGTTTCATGTGTAACATGAGACAACATAAAAAAGAGGCAAATTTAAGCTGTCTGACTCCACCTGCAGGAGTGCAGCAGCAGCTTAGATGTTTTTACAAACACATTTAGAGGAACACACACACACACACACACACACACAC